GAACTATGTCTCTGTCTACATCTGATCTATATGGAAATATAATTAACATTTGAAAATCCTCTGTGAAGTTTTCATCCAAGAGGGGCTTCGCCATGAAAGTCACAGACCTTGGGTCCTACTACCCTGCTATTGTATCAGCTCAGATGCATTAGACAAAGATTTAGTTTTTGTGAAACTGGTGTAGGCATCTGAACTTTAGTTTGGATAATTTGTATCAGTCCAGTTTATCTCGTGTTGCTGAATCATCTTCCCATGCAAATTCCTCTTAAGTAGATTAACAGCCTCTAGGCCAATGGGTGGCCCCACACCCCTGTGGGCTTAAAAATGGTGTCCCATTCTGTCCACTACCCCATCCCATACATGTTCGGGTTCCTTAAAGAATCCCATTTGTTTCTTTTTTCTCTAATCTACAACCTACGATTAGACTGTTCATATTTAATGATAGACTTGATATTCCTGGCGTGGATGGCACTCTCTTATTTCTAATTTTCCCTGGCCCTCTGGCTCCTTCCTGCTCCTGACACTTCGTGAAACCATCTGCCTGACCAAGCTACAGCTTCTAAAAGAAAAATCCTAGGCGCCGGTCCTTCAATTATGCCCCAGTCTCCTGGCAGCTAGAGTTACACAAGAAGGGATGAGATTCCTTCTGCTATTGAATAATCAATGGTACTCATTTCTTAAAAGTTTAAATACAACCCATCAAAGGCAGGGCTTAGTTTCATTGTCTAGGAGGAGGAAGACAGTTCCTTTACTGGATCAAGGTTCGCAGGTTGACATGGCCCACCTGAAAGCTAGACTGCCAGCTTTAGCAAATAAAAATACAATTATGTTTGACTTTCCTATAAATATTTCCATGCAATATTTGGGACATACTTATGCTAGCAAATTATCCATTGTTATAAAAAATTCAACTAGGTATCCCATAACTCTAACAGTATAAGACATTGTAAAGGTTTCCTTTGCTAAGAAGATGTACAATCTCTCTCTCTCTCTCTCTCTCTCTCTCTCTCTCTCTCTCTCTCTCTCTCTCTCTCTCTCTCTCTCTCTCTCTCTCACACACACACACACACACACACACACACACACTACCACAGTGGTGCTCTATCTCAGGGATTTCCACTCTATTTCTGCTGTGATTAAACCAAAGGTGGTGGACGATGTTTTCAAATTTAAAACTCACTTCAAGCAAACAAAATATCATGCTGCACACACTATGTTGCCCTTTTTTTTCTTCCTTTGACGGTCTCAGGGTCTTCAGGTCCAAAGGCAATAATAACTTGGGACTGAATAACACTGTCAATGGAAGGGCTTTTCTAGGCTGTAAGAGGACAGGTACTGCACAAATTCTTGGAGTCAGCTTTACTACAATACTCTATGTCAGTAGTTATCACTACAATATGAGAGTAAAAGCATGTGGACCCCCCAAAGTAGGCTGAATTTGCAACAGAACTGCTATATTCTTAGCACAGGCACTACAGAGTAGAAGATAATTTCAGAAATGCTATGGGTTAAAGGGAAGAAAACAGAGACACAGACAACTTTTCAAACTATATGGTACTAGCACTTGAACCAAGTTCCTTGAGTTGGAGTTCCAGAAGAAGAGGTGAAATAGCTTGGCCATATGTTCATTTCACTTAGCCACCATGCACGCCACTGACTCAGCAACTATAGGAAGGACATCGTCTTTAGACACAGAGTAGAAAGAACACTGGGCAAAATGGAACCAGTTTAGAGGACAGAGATCTGCTTGGTTAAGAGCCTCAGATTTTATCATATAAAGAAGGCAGATGAAATTGGTGTTCGTTGCAGAAGACTGTAAGGAAATGATATTGGTCTTTAACTACATCGAAGTTGAAGATATGGAATGTTTGTATCTTTAAGGGGTAGAAACTGGGTCCAACTAATGAAAGCTACAAGAACATCCATTTTTCAGTGAAATACATAAAAAAAATTCGTAGAGTTAGTCAAAGATAAAATGGGTAAATTTTGGTAGGCTGGGCTTTCTGGTAACTAAAGAAAACATAGATTCATTGACAATATATAGGAAATGTTCTTCAATGGGACTCCAAGCAATGGAAGTTGGGGTGGACTTCAAACCATTCAAGATTTCTTCCAACTTTGAGGTTCTATTATTCTAAGGAGAAAATTAAACATGATAAATCAATAATTCTGGTGGTTTGGGCTAAACTCAATAATTTTCATATTTAAGCAAGATCTGATAGGATTTTTACAGATCACAAAGCACTGCATCTAAGTCTTGATTTTAAGCATCCTGATTCTAATTCATCAACTAGTAACAGCTTCACATTGGGACAAAAATATAAAGAGTAGATCAAGAGAAGATCCCCTCTCAAAATGGAAAAATATCTACTATCCTACAAAATTTCTGATTTTTTACATGTCTAAAGCAAAAATCTTGCCATTTTAGCATGTCCAGTATAGTAGAAGCTAGATAAAATATATGGTCACTTATCACACGCTGATTGCTATTCCTAAAAGCTATACTTTATTAAATATATTTTTAAAAACTCAAATGGCTACCCAAGAGCATTTTGATGTTCAGAATTTTATAAATATTTCTAACAATAGAAACAACTCTACATTTTATTAAGCCAAACCAATATTTCCAGTGCCCATAAAAAGCCCATCTCAATGATCACAAATCTAGAATGACAGGCACTAACTGCATTTCTGTCCCCACAGATTACTAATTTCATTGATGAGACTTCCTATAGCTTTTATTGGCCATCAGCAGATGAATGGGGGTGGGGGGCCTAAATGCACTAGGACCAATAAACCCTGCCTATAAATGATAAATATGATCTTGTTTGTGCTATGACTTGAGAAATATTATATTTTAGTGATGTTGTCCAAGAAGGAATGCTTGATCCATTAATTTCATGATGGTAGTGGCAAAAAATAAAGCATAAAATAATCAGATTTATTGCATAGAAGTGCAGGCAACATGTATGTATTTTTCTCAAATCACAAAATGGTTTGAGCCTTGGGAAACCAGAACTTGCCTTTTGATACCAATATTGAACTACTCCTTTTGTTTGTTTATTGTGATTACTTGTTTTTAACCTGCTTAGGTGACATGCAGATTAATATTCCAGTCCATGATATGAAAGTTCTTTTGTTTTGTCTTCTGCAAAGCTACTTGTACAATTTAGTAAGCCTTAGGAGACTTTAGCCTGACACTATTACTGCTCCTTAAAGGAAAAGATTCCAGATTATAAATAAACTCTTGGAAAAAAAGAAATGATCGTTTTGAAGATTTAACTCTGAATTCATTTAATGCAGCTCAAAGATCGGTCACAGTTTTTATTTAATATGACCTTCCCACCTTTATTTCCTCCCCAGAGGGTAGTGAGAGACTGGGGATAGAGAGAAAAAATTAAGGGAACATTCTTTTTAGCACACCTTGTATATATCGTTCCTCTGCTGAGATGTCTGGTGGGCAACCGCCAATTTGTTAGATTAACTCATTTCCTTTGAATCACTCTTTGTTACTGAAGGGCTACAGCTCTGTTCTATAAAGAACCATTACTTTATAAGTGCTGGTTCAGCATATTCCATTTTTGCTGATGGCATGTGACATCAATCAGCATACCCAATCTGAGCACATGCAGAGGAATCAGAAAGGAGAGCGGTGGTGAAGACCATCCTTGTCGAGAGATGTTTCCCTGGAAAAGCAATTGCTTTTTCAAAGACTGAATGTGTTGTAACATTACCTGAATGAAATCAATAGGTATTTAGCCCATTAATTGTGTTAAACTATCCCCAAATGAAAGAATAAGAGCACACACTTAAGTTGCACGAAAGTTTTTATACCTAATACTTTGGAAAATATTCCTGCATTGGTTCCAAATTGTTTGCATGTTCATCTTTTTGAAGAAGCCATGCCGTGTGTAGAAGTAAGAATACAACAGGTTTCCATTTCTATATATTATTTCTTGTGAGCAGACTGACCAGAAGAAAGTGAGTTACATTTTCTTTGCCCATCATTTTATTTTAAAAAGACAGGAAAAACATGCATTCAGAACTACCTCTTACAAGAATGCCTATCAATTGCCTACGTCCTGAAAGAAACTATTTCAAAAGAAGAAAAACAGGTAGAAGTTAAAGAGAAAGTAATACGATACAGTCATTTCAATGTAAGTTGTAAGATTTGTTTATGTGTGTTTCTGTGGCAGTAAAGATTCTTTTTCTAATTCCAGATAACAGTGCTACTTCAAAGATATACAAGTGACATTCAGCTCATTAAAAAAATTTAGACAGTGAATCAAAAAATCGACTTCATATGCACCTGCATGAATGGAACATTCTTTTATGACCTACTGCTATTAGGGAAAAAAAACCTGATTTCATTTGATCCTGTTACTGATTTTCTGACTGACTTCTCATTTGATGTCTCAGATACCACTAGAAAATTCTGGAAATCAGAATAATTGAATTGCTTTGCATGTAAGTTAGAAATATGGCATTTACAGCCCATTTGTGAAAATAGGAAAAAAAAATTTAAAAATCATTAATAGTACATCTCTATAATATCATGGGACAAAAGAGATCAGGGCATTTCTCCAATCATTTGGGAAGTCAAAAAGGTGCAAGGATATTTCAGAACCTACAGTATTTATTACAACAGTCATACTCCAAAGGGGTCAATGTAAACCCCCTGATTTATGTGGTCTGTGTTCAGGCACTAATTGGTTCAGTTGAAGAAGGTCTATAGCACTTTGGGGCCAGATAATAAGACTACAGCGATGCCCCTGCTGTCTTCCAATATTATTTCTACACTCCCACCTATCCTTTGACCACAATAAACACTACTACTTAAGAAATTCAAATATAAAAATACTTCTATGAGCAAATAGAAAATATAATTAAATGCTATCCACTTAAACTATTGATTCATTTAAGGAAACCCAACATCAAACCCAAACAGATTTGTACTTTTACGGCAGCCCTCATTTGGTAACTTTTATGCTTGTTTATAGAAAGAGGAAAGATAAAAAGACCAAAATAGGATTGCCAGACAAACGAAAACAGTCTAAGCAACCTTGTAATTCATCTCATTTTCTTGACTCTTCCTTTCCTCAAGTTCCAAGAGGTGAGTGATAATTTTGCAAGTGAAAAATCACAGTAATACTGAAAATAGAATCATCCCTTTATCCATTCTCCTTTGAAAGCTTTGACCTCTGCCAACACAAATGCCCAAACTGGGGTTGCTGTTTGTTTTAGCGGGTTCACTTGATTTTTATACATGTATGATTTCATGTATGATCATTAGGCACACGTGAATTGCCGAGTATCTCAGGCATGGCCTTTTAGAAGCACACACATTTTCCCACAAGCTTCCTCAGAGAAGTAAGTCCTAGAGTCATTTTTCAGATGTGGGCAGTCTCTAATCAATGTCTTGAAGACAGCACTCCGGACATGCTTACTTAAATATCCATTTTTTAAATTGATTTTTTGTTGTTGTTATAAATGACTTGTGTTGTTACAGCAGGAAAAAGAATTCAAAGAGTTTCCATTTTTGATCTTTAATATGTGAGTCAAGTCTCAAAGATGAGGAGTTCTCTGGCTTATAAAACAAGCCATCCTAGAAGTATACTTGATTTCTAGGAAAACAGAAAACACAATTCCTAGCATTTTGATTTATTTTGTGATAAAGTCTCAAGGATATGCCATCTGTGTGATCTCATAATCTTGGTATCCATCGTCAGTTTATGGACTTTCAAATGTACCCGGGAGAGTTTCGATCCCTCATTTATCAAAGTGTACCATTCACATTTTTTTTTTTTTTGCACAAGCAAATGAATGCTGGACAGTTAGATACCTTAAGTCTCTCATGGAATAAAGCAGAGTAAAAATATGTTTTAAATAAATTAGATAGTGATAATTGATCAATAATCTATAATTTTCTCAATTAATTTTTGTCATGTTGAGCAAAGTGAATTATTTTTTAGTTGAGCACATTCACCTTAGTTGATAGCTTTGCCTCCTTCAAAACAGATTTTGATAAATTGAGAAATCAAGACTTTAGTAAGATAGGAAACCCTTTGAAAAATGCAGAATTACTCAAGTTGAGGACCACAACTTTTAAATAGTTGATATTTAGAAGTCACCTTCACATCTGCTGATCCTAGTCTTTACACACCTCTTTCACTGAGTTGTCATTCTTCTGGGAGAAAAAGGCTGGGCTTTTCAATAGTGAAAATTGCCAATTACTGGCAAGACACTCATCCTGGCCGTCTTGTCTCTTAATTTCAACACACGGATTGAATGTCACAGTCATCACGTGCAAAAATAAAAAATAAAAAATAAAAAAAAAATTGAGACTTCTGAAACGCCAGGGAGGTCTGATTCAACAAAAAGTCCAAAATGTAGATATACTGGGTCATCAGCATATACACACGATGCTTGTTACATCCTTGGAAAATAGAGGAGATTAGGATAGGATCATGAATGCTACTTACAAAAATCAGAGCCCTCTGGGAACACTAACAGGGCAAAGCTGAAAAAAGCTGCCCAGGGGAAATGCTCTTGAGTTGGAATTTGAAGGGCGGTGGGCCAGGGTGGTAAGGGAGGTACATGGACTGGGATTAGATTTACAGTGGAGAGGCTTGTCTGAAGATGGAAGGGCAGGCAGGACATAGCCAGTTCCAGTAAGTGAAGGCAGGTCAGAGTGACCGGGATATAAAGGACAGGGGAATGCAGGGCAAGAACACGCAGAGTCCCACATGACCATGGCACTTGCTTATTTTAAAATGTTGCAGTGTCTTTACTTACACACATTACATATACTAATTTAGCACCATACATTTCATGTTCCCTTTGTACTCTTATTTACATCATCAAATAGTTTATCAAGTCCTTCTGTTCATGGAGATTAACTCTTAATTCTTTTAGCTGATGCGCAGGATTAAACCAAGACATCAATTAGTACAGGTGGACAGAATGAGGATTTATTGTATTTGCGGTAAAAAGGAAATATGTGTTGAATACATAAAAAGGAATCTAGATTTTCTGAGGACAGTTCTTGATCCATGTTCTATTTATATGTTTACACAACTTATAGAATAGTTTTTGCACTAGTAGAAAAGTAAATTATCTATAATTAATTTCACTTGCCTAGATCGTTTGATTTTTCTGTTTATATCAATTATGAATCAGATAAAGCATTCATTTTAGCCCTGACATTTCATTCACAGTATTGCCCAAATTATTTCACCAGTTAAATATATCAAAATATTCCATTATTCATGATTTCATTAAAAGTGAAATGAAAAATTTTCTAATAAATTATATACACCAATATGTATGTGGATGCAATAGTTTTAAGTTAATTAAATTTTTGCTAGCTAAAAGCACAAAGAAAAGATACAGAGTTCTAATCAGAACACCTGCTTCATAAATGAATAGCTGGAGGGTGGGAAGAGGAAATGGGAAGTGACTACTAGTTGGTATGAGGTTTGTTTTGTGGCTGATGAAAATGTTCTGGAATTAGATAGTGGTAATGGGTCGCACAACTTTATGAGAATACTCAAAACATCAAATTGTATACTTAAAGGCATGAATCTTCTGATATGTGATGCAATAAAGTTAACAAAAAAAATTTTTTGCAATAAAATTTGCAATTATTTGGAATTATTAAATTTGGAATTATTAAATCCTAGGAAAGGGACATATGTGCTTTTAAATATTTTCCTAATTTCTTCTGTGTCCTGTTGACAAGCAAATCCCTCTAGTACTGAACAAGGATTATATATTGGCATCATAGCAAAATTTGAACCATTTGCAATATTAGCATGTTTCTAGAGAAAAGATGGCTCAAGACAACAAAAAGCAAGAAATTCCTAAACGAACAACCTAAAAAGCTGCCCTAACCACATACATGTGGTGACATAAAACAACAAATAAACAAAGAAACCAGAAAATTTTGTTCTCTTCCATTTGAAGTCATCTTCCCATTCTTTTTTCAAGTCCCAATATTAAATTACATCTGCATTTGACTAAGATCAAAGATGGTTCATACAATCGGACAACTGTCACATGATTCTATTCCATTAAAGGTTCTCTTCTGACTTCGTTAGGAAAGCAGATTTCACTCCCTACAACTGCATTAATCACTAACCCAGGCAAGCTGTTTAACTAATCAGAATCTGGGTCTGACAACTGCTCTCATTTACTGATTCCATTTTTGTGCCACTACAGGCATCCCAAGCCACTCAATCACTGTCAACCACAGAATAGGAGGAAGTAGGCAAGTTTCATTTTTAATGATTTCTTAATTAAAGGCAGAGTTACAGTTGCATGGTAGCTTTATCCATGCAAAACTACTCATACATACTTTCTAACCAATTGCCCGTGGAACGAATGCACTCTTACGAAGTGGGAGCCCAAATGCAAATTCATAGGGATGAAATACAGAAAATGTATAGCTTTTATTTTTATTGAAGGCATTTAAATACACTTGGCAAAATAACTATGGGTTAAGCTTTAGGGTCTTTATCCCTGAAAGCATTTATAATGGCAGTTGTAGAATTTTTTCCTGGAAGGTTTCCTCCTTATCTGTAAACATTTGAGGCGGGTGGTGCATTTCCTTAGTCTACGACTTGGTGAAGTTCTGTCTGGAGGTAGTGGTTAGACTCAACAGCCTCTGGAAATCACTTGTAGCCCTAAGATTGTAATATTATATGAAAAGTCAAATCCATGTAACAGCTTCATGGGTGGTAGTTTTATCATCCTGTCTCCATTATATATTTGATCCCCCCAAAAAACCAGACTGCAAACTACCAGAAACCAGCCTTGGTAGAATGGAGTAAGCCATAGAGAACGTGAGCCATTCTTCACCCAGCACTGCTTGCAAAGGCCATCCTGAATTCAACTGAAGGAGGGCCCCGTGCCCACCTGCCCAGTTCCCCAGATCACCTCCTCCTAGGCCTTTATTCGCTCATTCTCCCTTCCTGTGAACGCTCATGCCTCTTGTACAAGCCTCTTATCGCCCACAATGTTCAACCATCTTGGGTTTTCTCTCCTTTGCAATAAAAGGCAGGTATGTCCATTGCAACACCTCAGAGCTGTGCTATGTCTCATAATGCCCTTGCTGAAATGCAGGCACATTGCCATAACCACTCCTGCAGAGCTAGAACATCCCCGTCTGCCCTCGTAACTCTCCTGTAATGAACTTTTCCTACGGTGGAATCACTAATATGTCTTTCTTGATGTTTCCCTCCTTCTACGCTTCTTCCATTTTCCAGCTGTTCCTTGAATGCTATATAAAGAAGCAATTTTATTCCATGTGCTTTACTTACGTGTTTACTCACTGAAAATTACTGCTATCTTTTCCGCATATTGATGTCTCACAGATTGTTCTACACACTGAAGTATCATTGACAGCCCTGAAATTTGTTTTTCTAATTCTTAATATGCCTAAGCCATAACTCAGGTGCTATAAAAAGGAACAGAGCCATATTGCACGGATTTATGGAAATCTTATCTGCTTCTGCAATTTATTTTTGTGATACAATTTTACTCTGTGTGGTCGCTGTGGCTTTTGATTGGTCTCCAATGGCTGTGTATGAACCAACTCTAGCACATACATATACAGATGGGTTCGATGATAGGTCTCTTTTTAGCTCTAAAATTAGTTAGCTCTCTCTTTTAGAGAGTCCTATCCCTGAGTTGAAATTCTATTGCAGTATGCATTTATTCTGGAGGACGGTCTCAGCCCCAGGAAAGGGTGTTGGCACTTTAAGATGGTTGAACCTCACCGTACAGGTCAATAAGAAAGCGTCATGAAGCTTATGGAACAACGAAGGAAATATTTGGCACAAAGCAATCCTCTGATTTGCTCAAGCCAAAAATGAGAAGTTAACTCTGCCTGTGAGTAGAAAACATCTAATAACTGAATCGAGAGTTTCTCTGAACTATCCATGCATCTCCAAGCAGTATGTATTTGAAGAACCAGTTGCTGATGACAATTATAGCCACAAAGCTCAGAGCAATGAGTAACCCAGGGGGTGTCATCTCTGGTGTAACATTGTGATTCTTCGACAGAATAGGCTGATTCAAGTTCAGCCCCCACAATACTACTTCAATTTTTCT